AGATTCCAAATCTCCTTCTTTCTGTCCCTATTCCCTGACTGAGCATCTTCGGTTCCAAGGCAGCAGGGAAGTTGTTTCTCTAGCTTTCAGGTATGTATCTGCTGCTGCCTGAATCTTACTTCAGTAGTGTTCATATTCCATAATCCCAGACCACTAAGAGCAGCCATGTAGTCACGCATGTAAGTGCTSACTTCTCTGTACAGGAAGAACTATGTGGCAAATGAGGTATCAGATTTCTTAAGATTTTTTTGCAAGACAGAGTACTTCTGATAATGTAGCCTTAAATCAAGGTGCTAGATAAAACAACTATAATTCTTCACATTTACGCAGGATTCTAAAACATTCTTCCTAAATGTGACATRCTAGGGTTAACAAGTCAATGTTATGCATGGAATGCTTATTTCTGGCCATATCTTATTTATTCTCTAATAAGACTATTTGTCTTAATTTGTAAGGAAGTTGCAAATTCTTTTACCATTCACCTACTGGAAAATACATGGCAACAATTATTTCATTAGGCATATGGATGAACCAAATTAAATTTGAAGATTTTTAAAGTAACTGTTAAAGGACAATAAGAAATCCTAAAAGTTGAGAAAGATATTTCTGGAAATCTAGTACAGAACTGAAAAAATATATATACAGATGATGCAATTATGTATATTTTGGGAAAATGCATGTTACAATAATCTATTCTGCTCTAGGCATTGTCATGTATCTGTCATGACACACAACGAAAGCAGCTACTTCCAGAATGCTGGAATACCTTTCTTTCCTGCAACACACCCATCCAAACTAATAATAGGAGAAAGTTCAACAAGGTAGAAAAAAAAAAGCAAATAGAAACAAGCTTTCAAAACAAGTCATATAAAAACACACTTTATCTCACAGACCTAAACATAATCAAAGAAAGATAAATTTCAGTTCAATGAATATAAGGACTCTACACCTGAAAAACACTCCTGGAGCACAGTCTTCCTCACAATCTTCCAGAGTAGCACACATATTGCTGCTACAGAATCCTGTTTTGGTGTCCCTCTCTGTTTAAGCAAGGACAGCACAGTGCACAGACTGGCCAGTCATAGAGGTAAATAAAGCATCCACTACAGAAATATTTATTACATGAGGAGAACAGAAGAAAGACATTTTCTTGGCTCCTGTCTCTAGGTGCAAACTCTTCACTTTCTTTTCATACTGTAGCTGGACTTTCCATTTTATAATCAAAATAGGTCTGTATTTCTGGAGAGTACTTCTAAGCTCCTTGTAATGCCCTGTCCTCCTTTTGTTGGAAGAGACTTCCTTAGGCAGCTTCCCCTGGTAATACATACCAAGGATTTAAAATAATACACTTGGCTGTGAACACAGTAACTGGAAAACACATCTGCTTCTGTTGCCAGGTTTGTAGCTGAAGGRGAAGTGGAATCAGGAGAAATTCTAAAACTAACCCCAAAGAGATTTCCAGGAGGAGACTTGGGAAGCTGATATCTCAGTTTGCCAGATACTACCTTCAATTGCTTTGTGTGTGTGTAACAGAAATGGGTATATAGAAGTTGGAAAATGTTAGTTCTTCTAAGGTCTCTGCAACGACGGCAGAGCAAAGACACTCAAGTGGAGTTAAAGAGTTAACAGAGTTTAACAGAGGCACAATGATGCTAAAGGACAGCAAGCTGTGTAGGGGTCTGAGTGATTCAAATTATCAGGAAAGTAATAAACACCCTGGCCCTGATCATTTCCTCTAACTGTTCAGCTCTCCWTATTTTTTTTCTCTTTATCCATTTCCCATTCCATGTTCCTAATCAGGTTCAAATGAGATGTTATCTGCTCCATTTTTGCAAGCTTGACCTACTTTTCTTAGAGGGATTAGCAGCACTGTGGCAGGTCTCCCCTGTTTTAGGAACACTTGGTTCTGTTTTCAGAAGGAAAGTAACTCTGCCTTGTTCCCGTGCAGACTTTGTCTCAACTACAAACATCTTCTACGTTGAATGCAGCTAAAAACTACTTTAAAACCTGATCTATATTAATTAACACTCAGAACTTCCCTAGATTTAATCCAAGATTTTTGCTCTTTTCATCCTAGTTTGTCGTTTTGGATTCACAGCAACCTCCCCATGTATTTGGGGCCTTCATTTCACAGGCTCTTGGATACCTTATGGAAATCTGGTTTACGGTCTCTCTCATTCACACACTCTTTGAGAACATAGATATACTTATTTAATACTTTTTCATCCAGTTTCCCTCGTCCTCACTGAGCAATGGGAAAAAAAAAAAAAAAGTCTTTCTGTATTTCTCCTTCACMAGGCAACTTCTTCAGCTTATTATACATCTTTTCAAGTAAGTTCTACTGCTGTTTATTATTTCTTTCTCCTCGCTACCTGTCAGTATCAGGACCTATTCTGAGGCTAAATATTGCTAAAATATCACATCCAGTTTTCAAATTAGCAATTCAAGAAAGGTATTGATAGATCAGAGAAAGTTTTTTTTCTCATGAGAATAGCTACAAGATTACAAAAATTGAATTACAGAAACTTTATGAGTTTAGTCTCTCTCTATATATGTCACATGGAAGATATTAGAGGATATATGTGTTCCATGAAACTTGCTCCTTAATCCTCAGCTGGCATTAATTGTGTCAATAAGAAGCTTACTGTTCAGAAAGGCAGGGTTCTCTACAGAGAGGTAAAGCTAGAGACAAAAATCTTCTTTAGTAATAGCAGGTACTATTTTAATACCTGTGGAAGAGGGAATGTATAAGACTTTACTGAGTCATAGGCAGAGGTGACCTACACTTGAGCAGCAGCAAAGGACTGAGGAAAATTGCTGCCAGGGTTTCATTTCCATGTAAAGCGAATGGTGCTATGGGCAAGACCATTTCCRTGTTGTGGAAATCCATAGTTGCTTCCAAAATCTTCCTAATTATGAGCCTTGCTCTGCTTCTGCCTCATGTACTGGCAGTAACAATAAAGCCCACTTGGCTGTCAATAAATAAAGAACAGGCCTCAATTCAAGCTTAAAGTAATGGCTTGATCACAGCCAAATGATTCATTCCTTGAGGGAAAATGGAAATACTGTAAAGCAGCCTCATTAAACAGGCTGGCAAAGTGTGACAAAGTCCAGAACTGGTCACTGTTAGTGTTTTCTCAAGTGGAAAAAAAAAAAAAAAAAAAAGTGTATATGTATTAGCAACAGGGCTGATTAACTTTTTGTGCAACTTCTTGAAAATTCTTCACCACAAGTTACTTGCAAGCCAAGACCCCTTTCAGAAAAGCAAGAACTAATTTGAGGAAATTCTACAATCCCCGACAGGCAGGAAAGGCAAACCTCTACAGTGCTCTCTTCTGATATATTCCGGTCAATCTACAGGACTGACTCAGGAAGTTGGCTGTCCAAATTCCCATTAACTGACTCAACCAAAACAATACCTCCCACCTCTGCAGGGAGAAAGGTAAAAGTTCAACGCATCTTCAGAAGAGGCAAGAAGGACAAGTGAGGGAACTACAAGCAGGTCACTCTCGCTTCAGTTCCTGGAAAAAAAATATGGAGCAAACCCTCTTGGACACCAGAATGGAGGTACAGTCAATATACTTGAGGGCAGGGCTACCATTCAAAGAGACAAAACCAGGCTAAAGGACTAGGACAAACAGAAAGATCAAAAAAGTCAACAAGAGAAAGATCAAAAAAGTCAACAAGACAAAGCGTGGTACTGGAGGCGCTGGTGCAGGTGAGACTGTGCAGCTGGGGAGCAAAGCCCCGATGGCACCGGCAGACGGAGGACAAGCCAGCTGCACAGCGAGCAGAGCTATCGGCACCCCGGGGTGCATGGGCAGGGCCGCAGCGAGGTGACCATCCACCTCGCTCCACACTCCTAGCAGGGCTTCTTGGATACTGCATCCAGCCATGACCCCCAACACGGGAAATGTTGATCCACCTGAGCAAGTCCAGCAGCAGCCACTGCGATGGCTGGGGGCAGAAGCACTTGCCTGGTAAAAGGGAAGCTTGCTCAGCCTGGAGAAGCACCGGATTTGGGGGGACTCCACAGCCACCCCCTAGTTTCTGCAGGCAGGTGACCAAGAAAATGGGGACATTTCGCTGCGAATTTGTTGCCCGATGTACAGTGAGCCAGTAATCGCACACTCAGGAGAGACATTTTCTTATTTATTTCAGATCTGCATGAGCCTGGGTGCTCCATGGTTTTCCACAAATCAAGCACGTCCTCCTGGTTTTGCAAAACCTATTTATGCTTAGAAGTTTCCCAAGTCCATCCCTCTTACACTGATTGCTTAGGAATTTACATAGTATTCAAATAGAATTCAAATTCAAGATGTTGCTTGCTCGACGTCTCCGTYGTTATTTGTGCTCAGGGGAAGGGTCTTCATCTGGACAAGGGACTTTTGGACCTGTGGGTGTGATTTTTAGTATTATAATGAAGACAGTTCACTTCAGGATACATGGAGCTTGACTTTTCCTGACAAGTTTGCAATATGTAAAAAAAATGTATCCAAAAATGTATCCTCGTGGCCTAGCAAGTTTCAGAATCCTGTGTCTGTTTTAACGATCCTCCCTCCCATCCCACTGAAACACAGAGGACATCTGCTCTGCTTAGTCTACATCGCCCTTCAGCAGTGGTCACTGGAAAACCACTGGTGGCTTCCAGTGGTCACTGGAAAACAAAAAGAAAACGATCACAATTTGAAATGGGAGCTTCCAATTGGATATGAGGGCAGTTTTTTGCCACGAGGACGGTTGGGGGCGAGGGAGACCGGCCCAGGGAGCCGCTGTGGGAGCGCTGGGCCCGTTTATCCGACGGGACGGGCCCAGCGCTCCAAGGAGCGCGGGTCGCAGCCCGCGGCMSGAGCCGTTAGGCGGCCGCGCCCCAACGGCTCCCGCGCCCCAACGGCCGCTGCGGCCACGCCCCAACGGCCGCTGCGGCCACGCCCCCGGCCGTGCCTATTAAAGGAGGCCCGCCCCGCCCCGCCTCCGCTTCCGGGGCCGGGCCCGGCAACATGGCGGCGCTGCGCGGGGGCGGGCGGCGGCGCTGCCCGTGCGGCGGTGCGGCCGCGCTGGCCGCGCTCCTCCTCTCGCTGTCCGCCCGTGCCTCGGCGCGGGGCGGCGGCGCCGAGACCCCCAGCCGCGTGCGGGTGCTGGGCGGCTCCAACTGGAGCCTGGTGCTGCAGGGCCAGTGGATGGTGGAGTTGTGAGTAACAGAGCCCTCCTCTCTCCTCTCCCCGGGGCCGCGGCAGCCCCGGCCCCGCAGGCCTCCCCCGCGCCGCCCTTAGCAGCGCGGTGCTGTGTTCAAGGCCTTTCCCCGCAGCTTTCCGCCTGGGGGCCTTGGCGGAGGGTGCCGGGCAGGCCCAGGAGCAGCTCAGCCCGGGATTTGGCGGCTCTGGGCAGTAGTTACTCCCTGGGAGTCGTGCTGGGCAGAATGACTCCTGTGCTCCCATAGCTGGGGCTTTGGCGGAGTCTGGGGGTGCCGTGAGCTCCAGCTGCCTCGCACCGGGGTTTTCTTCGTCTCCCTTTGCCCTGTTGGCTGCTAGGGAGGGTCCCCCTTTGCTTATAGGGGTAGTTGTTTAAATAAGTTCACAAATGTCCTGGCTTCACTTGTGGCGTGGTGCCGCTCGGGAAGCGCACGGGYTGTGTTGTGTTGAAGGCAGCTCGCTTGCTTGTGTTCACGAGGGGCAAAAGAGACCTGGAATGTTTTTAATAGAGTAGTGAAAAATAATCTGAACAGGTTGTATGTTCGCATGGAATTGGTGTGCTGCGCAGTTGTGAAATGTTTTTGCTTTTTCTGTGGCGTGTGGGCAGCTTCTTTGGAAGTGTTTTGATGGTTTTAAGCAGATGAGATAGTTGCACTAACAAAATCATGATACCATYCCATGTGATCCTACTGGAAGAGGAGGGAGAAACAAGCTTCTGGAAGAACATTCTGAAAGAACAGTGAAGAGAGGCTGTTTTTCCTTTAGCTGCTGCCCTGAGTTAGGGTAGTTGGTCAAACTGTGGTGGTCATCTAACTGATGTCCTCCAGACTTCCTAAAGGATGTGAGAGCTCTSTAGATTTGATTGAAGATTTAGTATCTAAAGATTTAGTATCTAAATGRGTGTGAAATCTTGATTTGATCATTTGATAAATATGGGGTGCGGGGAGGGAGCCTGTGAAACAGGATATGCACCATCAACATCTGAACTCGTGCTCCTTCTAAATGCTTCTGTGGCTTCTTTAAGRCTTGTTGTCCAGTTTTAGTGTTAAATTTGCCTTGAGTTTCTAATGAGGGGGAGAGGCTATCGCCTCACCTGTGACTTTATTACTCTGGACCCTCCTTTACTCATCAATATTTATAGGTGAAAACCTTTCTGTGCTATCTATTTGCTGGACTTGTCGCAATGGTTCAGTGCTTGATAAGTCYGCTACCATGTTTATCTTGAGTTTCAAAGGGTATGCAAAAATCTAGCTGAATGCTTTGGTGTTTACATGGGATTAGCCTTGTTTTGGGCTACAGCAAATGGTCAAACTAGTAACAGGGGTTGTGACCCCAAAATGGTCTCTTGGTTAACTTTAGTCAGCTATTATTAATATTTTGATGTAGTATACTAACTTGATTAATGTAATATGCATCCTCAGAAATACGTTTGTAGGAATATAAATTTAGTATCTAGCAAAGATCCTCATGCAGGCAGGCCTATGATTTGGAGGTATTTGTGTGTTTGGAGGTGAATCCAGAAGAAAACCAAGAACCTCTCATTCCTTTGATCTTTGAAATCACTAAGGTTTCGGCGGTTCTACAACTTTTACTGGTGTGAAGTATCCAGTGGGAACCTCCCTGTTGTGCTGAAATGGGAATGAGAGGGCAAGTGGCACTTCCACAGAAGGAAGAAGGGTCCTGTTTCAGCCTTCCATGTCTGTTCTGTTGTGATAGGGATATTGGTAGATTACAAGGCCTAAAGGGTGCAGCTTTGACTAGCACCTGCTCACTTAAAAAACAACAAAAATGTGTAATTGGTTTTGTGAAACCTACCTTTTCAGTTAGAATACCACCAGTCTTGCATCTGAACTGCCTGTTTTTTAAGAGCAGGAATGAATCAGATGATAGTTTTAGGATAAACACCCAAAGAGTCGAGCGATGCCTTTATTTTTAAATGTTTGTTTGGAAGGAGAACAAAACAAGTCCCAACRCATGTAATGACCAAGAACAGTAGAAGAGTATCCCCCCCTTAATCAATTGAGAGCATCCAGGTCTTTCTGTTGATCTAGTGAAGTTCAGTGTGATGGGTGCTACTTAGTTTGCTGAATCAATGAACACAACCGAGTGCAAATAATGTCAATGTCTGGCTGGAATTACTAGATTTTGTACTTCCATCCTGCTTCTGATATTAGTATAAGAAGCCAAACTAAGTTCTGCCACTGAGCTGTGGCTTAAATGCAGTTTAACATGTCTTTGGGCTAAAGAAAAGATTATTCTAATTGTTTGATATTGTCTCAACCATGTTTGTATTTAGTATTCCACTTAAACTCATTTAGGAAGATTTCTCATAAATATGAAATCAAAACAGGCACCTTGACATTTGCATTTTAAGGTCAGATGGTACTTTAAATAGACTAAAGAATTCTTTAATCTTGGGAATCTTTTGACATGTGTGGCACATCTAGAGGAGCTGCATTTAGAATAAATACCTAATTCTGTCTGTATTGCAGCAGCATTATCTATCAGTYGTGCAGTTTTTTAACTGTCAATCAAGCTATTGTTACAAACTGTAGGTTCTATTTTAATATACAGATTCTGTCAAGCTATTACTAAAAAAAACTCTGTAGGCAGCACAATATGAAACAGCAATTCTGCATGTGAGATTTCTAATATACTTCCAGTATCTTTTAGAAAGCTACTGAAGCTCTCTTTCCTGGCAGGATAAGGCCCACGTTTTTTTTCACAGATGCTCTTGTGCAGAATGACACTGCTTCACAAGCTACTGTGCTAACTCTTTCTGAAATRATATATCTGTAGCTTTTTTTGTACAGTGAAATGTCTGATTTTTGACTTTTATTATTAAGTTTTAAATAAGGTTCTCATGTAGAAATACTTAGGTTTCAAAATTACTGTAGCCTGCACCACAGACCATGCTCTCACCTGAGGGATTAGTTCTTCTCACTTATTTTTGCCCGGGTTGGGTGTGCTAAGTATGGATATTACAAGTCCTTGATGGGCGTTGAGAGGTGTCTGTAGACCATGGTGGTTGTTTCCTGTTCCTAATTCTGCAAAAATGTCTCCCTGATTATTTCTTAAGATCTGATATCTCTAACTTGACTAAGGCTGCCCCTATCCAGGAGATTTGAGGCTATAGCTTTTTATAGCTGTAGGGTCACCATGAATACTCACTTTTTCTTCTTGTTCAGTACTATCCTTTCTAAATCGTTCTTCCCTTGATATAAATGCTGTCAATAGTAATTGCAGCTCTTTTTGGATATTCCAGATGTTAGTATTGGAAATTCAACTTGTAAACATGTTGTTCCTTCCCAGCAAATTAACCATGACAGAAAAGGAAGTTTGGAAGAGATGTAGAATGAACACTAGAGATTTAACTTGAACCTTTAAATYTCTAAAGAGTATGATCAAAAGGGGCATGTGTTGACGTATTGAATAGTGGTCTGAAGCAAATAAAACTTCCAGAAATTCAGAGGTGTGTGGAATCAATACAAACTGTTACGTTGAGGGATGCCAGCACAGCCTGGCTTCAGGCTGCTGTGTAAATGGATCCATTTTTCTATGTAAATAGAATGCATTCTGAGTGGTGAGGGATTTGGGTATGAATTTTTCAAGTGTGGGGATTTGTTTTTAATAACATGAGGAACGTATGTATGGACTGATAGAATTTGATTGTCCTACTCAATAGACTTGATGAACTGCAGTTTTTCTGTGATTGATGCTTTGCTATTTTCTCTGTACAGTAAATCAATTTTGAATGCATATAAGGATAAGAATACTAATATATTTAACCTGTTTCCTCCATTAGCTATGCTCCTTGGTGTCCGGCTTGTCAGCAAATTGAATTGACATGGGAGAGTTTTGCAAAGGAAAGTGAACATCTAGATATCACTGTGGGAAAGGTGGATGTCAGTCAAGAACCAGGTATGTGTGAAATAGACTCTGTTTTAATAAAATATTCAATTTAAGTAGCACCTGGGACTGTGCTGCAGTCTGTGGGTTTTTTCGTAAAAAAGCTCATTTCTGTCTTGGCTAGTATCCCAGGAACTCCAATAATGTTATCCGCACTTTGCTTCACATAGCTCACATCTGTGAGGATAGGAGTTTATAAACTTAATTGGGAAGTTTTTAAAAAATTAGAGGAGTGATCCCACATATTGCTGTGCTAGAAGGGACTTATTTTTGGTTTTAGTCTGCTTCACAGAAAGCTGTTGTCTGTCTYGTTCTTTGCTCTCCCCACAGCTATATCCTGTTTGTAGCTTGAAGTCCCTGAGACCTTCAGGGTGTAGTAGTAATACTCTGGTGTGAGTTGGCTCTAAGTTCATTTCATTTAACTGGTTGCACAGTGTTGCTGCTTTCTTGTCTTGTTTAAATGTATTAGTGCTTTTGACAGATTTTTGTTGTGGGAGAAGCACATATGCAGAAATGACTTCAGACACTGTGTTTGTGCTTATATGCATAAAAAGCAGCCTTATCCTTGCTTTAGTGACGCCTTTCAGAGTTTTGAATGTGTTTAAGCAATGTTAAGACTGTTTAAACTTCTGCATGTTTTGGGAATGCTTCATGTTTATCTTGGCTTTGAGGGGATGAAAGTTTGTATGCATAATTTCTTTTTTTGACAGAGTAAGGGAGAGATGTTACTAGATTTAAAAAAAGGCCAAATTTTGTCTATTAAAAAAAAACTTTTGAAGCACATGCTMATCTTTCTTTATTCAAAAGTGTGGTTTTCCAAGCAAGTTAACTTTATCAAGTTAATAGCAAAGAGATGATTTACAATTCTGAGCCTGAGGCCACAGGTTAAGTTCATAATAAATGTCAATTGTTCCAGACCTAAAGTTGGTTCATGTTCTATTAAATGTTTGCAGGTATATGAAAATTCTGATGCCAGAGAGCCCTTGGTGTGAGACTTGTTTAGTGCATATACTAATCATTAACAGCTTAATAAGCAGAGGATTTTGAACACTGGAGCTTTTTTCTGCAAAATAAGCTTAATCAAAGCCAACTTTTGCTGTTTCATGCTAACAAAATTGGAGTGCTGCTTGTGGTGTTCTTGGCTGCTAGCTACAGCTACATTTGGGGATATGTTATAAACCCATCCCTGTTAYCCTGTCTCATTCCTCAGACAGTTGAAAACCAGCCTTATGTAGAGTGAACCCATAGCGGCTTGGTCTTGATTGCCTCATTTAAGTGTGGCTGACTTAAATGCTCCATCAGCAATGAGGCTATAAAAACAGAGCATAAAATATCCTAAAGGTCATCTTTCTGGTAAAGACCTTGAACAGAAGTGCTGCGACCTGGTAGAGTGAGGGACTGTTTTTTTGTTTTGTCTAGACTGTTACGGCTGGTGAGTATCATAATTATGATCAYTTAAATATCTCATAACTAGGAGTCTCTTAGATCACAAATTCTCATCAATATTAGAATTTAAAACTGTTCTAATATAMAATATTCTAAGGATATTTGACTTCTGCAAGTCAAAGGGCTGACTGAATGGTGGATTCACAGTGGTAGCAAAGTGTGCCCAGCTTCCCTATGAAGTATCTATATCCACTGTATCCATCTGTATCAACTGTTTCACTTGTGAAACAAACTGGAAATCAAGTATTACAAATTTAACCATTTGATGCCTTTTTAAGGTGTCTGAGCTTCCAAAACCTGGAGCAAGAAGTTGCCATTAATGATCCTTAATTACAGCAAATGCCCAAGAATGGAGGATTACATGACTACTAGAGCCTTTACACAATTATAGCATGTTCCAGTCACTTGCCAGTCTTAGTGTTCGTAGTTTCCTCTTTGTTGAAACATTCAGCACATTGAGGCTGGGCAAAGGGGATGCTTCATTGCGGTGCCAAACATAGCAGTGATGCTGGAAGCCTTTTCAGTTATCACTTTGTACAGAACTAAATGGAAGACCAGAGAATTTCAGAAATCACCTCTCATTTTTATTTTTCTTGATAATTTAGAGAATTTCCCTGCCCTGTGAGCTGAATTGCCCTGTCCTTGATAAATTAGTATTTGTGAAGAAACTATGCTTTATTGCCCAGTCAGTGGGACAACAGCTTCCCTTGTGGGGATCACTTAGCYTTCTGAAGCTCTGCTTCATCTTTCTCCATCCTTTTTGCAATCTTTGGGGTAGTGCTCAAAAAGCTGGCATGACCCCACCTTTTGGATGATGGAAAAACTGTATCTCACAGCTAATGTTTGCAGTATTTTGTAGAAGAGARTGCTAAAGCTTTCCAAGCTTTACTAGCAAGCTGTTGGCATTCCATTTGTGCTCACCTAGAGGAAAATGAGATAAGGGAATGAAGAATGAGAACCTACCATCTAAAATATTGTCATCTTGCCACAGTTATGTTTGAGGGGAGAGACTGTTTTTCTACAGTGTATCAGACTGGTTGAATTGTTTGGAAGAATCAAGCAAGCAAATATGGAAACATTTTCTGTCTGTGTCACTTCAAAGGACTTGAAATAGGAAGTACAAACCTCTGAGTAGTTTCTCATCAGTCAGAGGATGAGTTAAAATCGGGGACTAGATTCTGAGAGCTAGTGGTAAAATCACCCATAGTCAAACTTTCTAGATTAAGCAGTGATCACATGTGAGATTATTCACAGATAAAGGTTCATAACAATTAACTCTTTGAGATGTTACCTGAATGGATTTCAGTCTTGTGCTGTTCTGAGGGGAAGACTGCAAACTACAAAAATAAATAGAATTTAAAAATAAGTAGTGCATTTGTGGCCATTCTGTTGATTGGAGAGAGACGCTGTAGATATAATCAAACTTCAGCTGTGTGCAAGTATGCATCATGAGTGAGATTCATGCAGAAAACTCATTCCATAGTAAGCATTTCTTCAGGATAAGCATTTTTCCTTAATATGGCAGCAATAGTTAGAATTTACTTATGTTTGCAGACAAACTGTAACCGTGTTCATATGAAATAAAGCTAAGAATTGTGTAGGCTGTTTAGTTTATTGATATAGTATTTAGTAGGTGTTGGTAATTTAGAATGCTTAGAAATTTCAGTTTTACTTGTTTAAATAATTTTTTTGTCTTTCTAGGCTTGAGTGGTCGTTTCTTTGTCACAACACTTCCTACAATTTACCAGTAAGTTGGTAATCCTGAAAGTTGTCCATTTCTGTGTGTATTTATTTAAGGGCAGCATGGTAAGTGTAATGGAGGAGTAGCTTATTTCAGTTTTTATAGTCTTGAAGCATTTCAAGAGTGCAATATGATTATGAACATGAAGTTCATAAATCTATATTTTTAAATTGTGAAAGGTTTTCCTACATCTGTATCCAGATACATGGTGCTTCCTTCATTTTAAAAAGGTTAATAACACTTAAAATAACTGATAAGTTTCAGTAAGGACTCTTAGAAACCAGAGCATATGAGGTCAGAAACATTTGRCCTTATAAAAGCTTCTTACTTTGTCATTTGTATAACAGATTATATAGATAATATGCCAAGTAGGGCAAAATCTTTCACTACATGGGTAAWAATGTACAATTTCATTACCATTGGGATTCTAAATTTATTGACATAGCGTATGAATGTGCAATTGTTCTTTTTACCTTTAAACCGCAGCTATAATATGTAGGTAAAAATGAAGAAACCCTCTGGCTTCTAATATGAATTCAGACTATGGCTTAGAACGCTGATCATAATGGTGAAGTTCTTATCTGTGTGTTTTCTTTAGCCTTAGTTGAGTAAATTTCTTTCCTATAAATATTGTTTAAAAATTGAGACCACAAGTCATGGATACAGCTGCAGAGCACTGGAAATGCTAGGCGATTGTTTTTTGGAGCGATATCAAATGTGTAATTTATGTGCTACAGTCTTTTTTTACCAAGTAAAGAGTTAYGGGATTTCCATGTTGTTGATATGTATTTATGCTTTTTAGTGCAAAAGATGGAGTATTTCGCAGATATCGAGGCTCACGGACCCTCGAGGATCTTCAAGGCTATGTTTCAGAGAGAAAATGGGAAGCTGTGGAGCCTGTAGCAGGATGGAAGTCTCCGTCTTCTATAATGTAACATTTCATTTTTATTAAGAGCAAAAATACACTTTATCAATTGTTAAGGTGCTATATTGACAGCCGAAGGACACAAGACCTTCATTCCATAATCCTGTAGAGTTTGCAGAAGCAATCTGTATGGGTGGCTTGTTGTGCACCTCACCTTTCAAAGTCATTCATTGTCTGCACTCAATTTTGCTCGTATCTAGTGAGACCCGTTGGTATCCTGTTTGAAGACTGAAAAAGTAGAGCTGCTGATCATTGTGCCAAGTGTCAATTATCTACCAAGTTTTGGAATAAAATGCTTATTTATGTAGGTCATAACTATGTGATTTCTGGCCACTTGGGACAGGTAGACAGGCTTTAAAGTTGTAATCAGCTTAAAGCCCAACAACTTGTGTCCTTATTTGGGATATTAGCCAATGTGCAATGCTTGCACAGTGTGTTTGTGCTTGCAGGTACATAGGATTGAGTTTGCTTGGAAATAACATTTGAATAACATAACTTTGCAATAACAGAAACATGATTTAAAAGGTGAATCAAAAATAGGTATTCTCTGCATTTCATTCTGACTCAAGGTACTTGCTATAGTGTGGATTAAAAATGGAGATTTAGGGGATTTTATTATTTTTCATTTGAAAATGCAGGAGGTCTGTAGGGTATTTAATAGTAGGAAGCGTGACTACAAGGCTGTATCCTGCTAGGAAGTGGATTACGCCCAAGTGTTGTGTCTCAAGTCACTARACTAAAGCTGTATTTTGAGCTGACTTAAGCGAACATAATGTTGGGAAAAWGTATTTGCAATTTCTAGTGCCAATTATAAGTGTGTGTTTGAAAAATTTTAAATATTACTGGGTTTAAAATCTGCCCTTCCTATCTTAATTTTCTAGGATGCATGGCATGGCAGGGCTCTTCCATCTCTCTGGGTGGATCCGGGTAAGTAAGTTTGTGGTAGTGTATCTATTTCTAATTTTCAAGAGAAATTTCAAAATGTCAACATAAAATTCTGAAAAAAACAAATTAGCAAATTTCCCAATTTAAATTTAAAAAGTTTAAATAAAGTTTTCAAAAATACAAATATTCACGTTTTGAGTATTGTTCAACAGTTCAACAAATATTCAGTTTTCAAATATGGAATCTCAAATRTCAAAATTCAAAATTTCAAGGTTTCAAATAACGAACATCTCAGTATTTCAAAATATCAAATTTTATTTTTCAAATCTAAAAATGTCAAAATAGACTTTAAAGTCTTCAAAATKAAAAATTTCAGTTCTAAATTTTAAAATCCCAGTGTCTGAATTTGACATTCAAATTTTAAGAAGTTGAAATTTGAAAAATCAAAATTTGTTTGAAATGTCAAACTTAAAATTAATTTTTTTAAATCTTAAAATTAAACCTTAATTAAGAATTGAAAATAGAATTGGGTTCTGAAGGATGCCTAGGATGTGAGAGACTTTAGAAGAAATTGTTTTGAATGAAAAGTCTCAAGTAGATCGTGTTTTAAGTGATTCTATAATAAGTCTTCTCATTTGCAGCAAATTCATAGCTACCTCACTGGCATTCTTGGGCTACACATTTGGGTCTCCTATGCAGTGTTTGTCCTGGCAACCTTATTGATTGGCCTGGCCCTGGGTTTGGTAAGTAAGCTTAGTATTTTTTTTCACTTTCTTAGAACTTTTGTYTTGGTGTAATTTAGAGGAGGAAAAAAAGTTGAAATGACCTCTTTTAAACTGCTTTTTATCTACGCCTGCAATTAAAAAACTTAAGTATTTGGTATGCCGTGTGCTATCTACTGAGCTGTATGTATTCCCTTACTGAGAGAAAGTACCAAGTTTTCCTGTAGACCTGAGAGTGTATCCTCTTCTCAGGTCTCAAGTTGTGTAGCTTTAATCTCTCTAATGCCAATRTCAAGTTCTTATAGGGCTCCATGTAGAGGCATATGTGCCTGATCTGCAACTAGCAAGAGAGCTAAAAACATTTGGATTCATATGCTAGATACTGGAGCTCTGTGGGTGTTAGGACATCTCTTTTTCATATGCATGGCTGTCCGAAGGCAGTCACAGCTGTCCTTGCTGGGAGCTGATGTTAGAGCTGATGTTTCCCTAGTAAATATGAACCCTGAGGTGACTCTTGCTAAACTAACAAAGCTGCTATTTTGGTCAGTGAGCATCTGAATTTTAGAGAGTGACTGGAAAGATTTGTTAGATGATATATTGTTACTGTGTCCCTGACCGTGGAAAACTGAGTTTCTTTTAGAAAGATAATTTTCTTCTGACACTGCAGGGGAAAGATGATAATTTGTGTTGTATTTTTTTTCTGCTCTCTAGGAAAGGTTTTATGTTTTCCTGCAAATTTTAAATGTTTTAGGTCTCCCTTAAAATGGTATTGAATCATCATTATGTTTTTTTCTCATGTGCTGATGGGATAAAATGCGTATTTTAATTAATCAATGTCATTCTGTTTTCTTTCCTTTACTCAGGTATTGGTTTTGATTTCAGACTGCCTTTGCCCATCCAAGTCAAAAAACAAAGATGAAACATCTGGTAAGAAGTTAAAGTGGGTGAGATACTGTGGCTTTTAAATGTGCCTGTTTGGGAGCAAGGACAGTAAATGGTCAGGAATTTAGTTGTGAATCAATCAATATATAAATTTCAGTCAAACTGAAAAGAGTAGGTAAGCTCTAAGGTATTTTTCGGTATTAAACCTTTCACTGGGAGGACAGTCAAGTAACCTTCCATCAGATAAAAATTCACTACTTTGTTCCAGCTTCTACAACCGAATAAGCTAAATGCATTCAAAATAACAAAGTCTATTGAAGAAAGGTGCTATTTTTGTGCATTGTACAACTGCTTTATCACTAGATGTCTTATTTCAATTCACAAGGAATGTGCTTTGGCGGGATGTTTCCCAACACTCAAACACCTCATRTTGCTTTGGGAGGTGTGACCTTCTGGATATATGTGGTTGAGGGATAAAGGAGATGGAGGGAATCAAGTGAATTTAGAGTCTATAGGATATAATCAACTATTATAAGAAAAGAAGACTAAAAATTTCATGTTTGTATGAGTGCTGAGTGAGCAGACTCCAGATGTGTTGTATTGCTAGGCGTAGATCACACCTGGTTGCAGTGCTAAGGCTTTCAGAGTCCCTGTACAACTTGTGTGTGGGGGAAGAATAGAACCAAAGACTTCCTAGCTCCAGGTTCATGAGATTTTTTTTTAAATTGCTTCCTGGATGATCGGAGGTTTAGGGTCTGTATGTATATGTTTAAAAAATTCCTGCTGAAATATTTGTTATCCCCTTAGCTTTCAAGAAAGTAGTAATGGGGTGGGGAGAGGCAGGGAGAAGCATATGTGGGGAGCTGTTTCCACATTGCTTTTCCTAGGTGTAGGAAAAGTGCCTTCATGAATCTCAACAAGGAACTCCTAGAACAATGTTCTGCTGCCTCTATTTTTGGAAAGCAAAAATTTGCACACAAATGTCTTACCTAGTTAATTAACACAAGCTGTGTGCTAGTTTCCAGAACACTGTATGATGTGGTTGTGCTATCAAGTGGAAGCAAATCTTGCCTTTTAAATACTGATTTTTGCAGTTCAGTACATATGGGTATGTTTGGTATGAAGATGCATCTATGACACTTGCCAAGAGGTGGCCAAACTTCAAATTCCTAAGTATGCAAAATGGTYATGTTCAACTTCTGGACAGTCTAGCATSCCTGTAAGAGGAAAAACAAATCAAAACCCATTGGGCACATGTGCAACTAGAGGACTCGATAGCAGATGTTAGTGACAACTTACCAGGATCTTACTGCTTACTTGGTGATGCTCTTGATGAAGATGGTGATTCCTTTCAAAGAGTTAAGTATACTAGATCTGTCTTTACTGAAGTTGCCAACAGTGATCATGAATGCTGCAGAATATACCTAGTGATGTAACTTTGAAGGATGTGTTACTTTGAGATTCTGTGTGATCTTCATATTTGCAACTCTGCTTTTGTTTAGATGAAGTGATTGAAAAGGAGAATGTGGAAAATGCAGCATTAGAAGAACCAGAGGAGTCTGCAGAGCTTTCAGCAGATGATGTAGAAGAAACTGCAGAGGTGAAGGACCTCTCAGATGGAGAAGATGCAGCAAATTCAAGTGCCGATGACTTGGAGGAAGACTTGATACTTGCTAAAGAATCAGAGGAAGAAGAAACAGAAGACTTAAGTGAACAACCTTTAGCTGATTCAGAAACTGAAAGCTCAGTAAGACAGCGTAGAAGTCAGGTGGCTGATAGTGGCCTATAGTTAGGGTGGCATATTTTGTACTCTTGGACCAAAGAAGGATCAACCTGGGTCAGAAGCGGAGGCTTGTGTTTGACTTGTCACTTGTGTTTACGCAGAATCTCTGCTCTTTCAGTAGGCTTTTTTGCTAATATTTGCTCATTGACTCCATTTTATAAGCACACATGCTATGTATGTAACTTTTGCCATGACAATCAAGATGAGTGTATTTTATCTGTTTTGAAGATGTCTTAAGAGTCTGAGTCCAGTTGTGAAATGGTCATCTGTGCTTATATCCTGTAGTAGATAATGACCTAACCAGGATTTGTAACCTCGTCATGACACTCCTGCCTGAATTTCTTTTTTCCAAATGCCACAGAAGCACCAAACATATGATACAGTAATGAAAGAAGGCACCTTACTAGTCTTCTATTTAAGAAAAAAAGGAAAACTGCCCATAATGGTTTATTTTTATCATGTTCAACTGAAGCACCTTTATCTTTGTTTTCTTCTAATGTTTGTCTTAGTATATTGCAAGAGTGAGCTTTGTGCTCTGATTCATATGGCTCCATTTTTTTTTCAGTTTTTGGTAATTAAGAAATCATTCAGAGACCTGAGAAATTCAGCTTGCTAAGTTTTAATCATTGAAAACCTCAGGCCCAGAAAGGATGGCAGCTAGATGCTTGAAATATGTTGAACCTCAGAGGTTTAAAAGAAATGTTCTTCAGGGGGGAGGGGAAACCGCTTGCCAAAGCATATTTTTTTTTATTTTTTCTCCTTTTAAGTGATTGTAGCAAGAAGTATTCATTTTGCAGCCAGTAAGCTGTGTATTTCTTGCCAATACAAGCTAGTCCTATGGAGTGCAGTTCTGTTATTTCTAGCTCAGTGTAGTTTTGGCAGAACTCAAACTGCTATAATAATATTAACTGAAAAGACACTTAAGGTTTAACCTTTGTGCTTTTCTACTTTCTCCCATTAGAATCAACTCACTAGGAAATGGGAGGGATAAGGACAGTGAGAGGAGAGCAGCTTTTGATTTTGCTACTTTTATCTACTTAAAACATGTATCTGTCAAACTACATAAAGTGAAAATAGCTTGTCAGATAGGTGRCAGTTGGTGTGGTCTGTAGGTGATGTTACTAAAGATAGCAGTATTTCCTTCAAGTCATTAAAAACAGTGTTTTCCTGTGGGTAATTTGGTTAACATTAAAGGTTTGTTCTTGGTAACCACATTGCTTGTGAGTGAAAAGTATCTACAGTGAAATCCTGTATGTTTCTGCTTTGTCAATGTGTATTCATATGAATAAGGTGTCTTAATGATTTTTATATTGCATAACATTGCTAGTGAGCATGAGCTTCATCTTATTCTCAAAGAATAAAGAGATGAAATCGTATTTTTTATTAGAGACAAGCTAAGTGCAAAAGCAAGTCCTCCCTGACTAATAGGGTCAGTTTGTTTTGGAAATTGCTTTAATGTTCATAAAGTACTTATTTACTGGAGAAACTTGCATTTTCTTCTGTGTCCTGTTACAATTTGTATCTTGAAACCGTATGGTGCAAACTTTGCATTTGTCTGTTACAACTGTATAAAGAAAAAGAATCRGACTACCTATGTTGAATATGAATATTCTTTAAGTGTATGCAGTCCTGAAGCTCTTTAGAGTAATGGAGACTTGTAAATATGCTTTTATGTCTGTGAAAGGATACAGTTGATAAAGCACATTGCACTGTAAAGAGAACAAATAGCTTGTTAACACAAGGTGGATTTGGTCTCCTCTAAGTGAGCAATTCTGGAAGCTTATGAACAGTGGGACTCTTCAACAGCTGAGKTATGCACTTTTTTAAAGAAATGAAAACTAAAGGAAGATTTCAAGAAAATGTGTACACCCTGTGGTATGGTTTTATTGGTTGTGATTTATTTGTGTTTTTCATTATTTCATAAAATGCTGAAGGAAAAGCAAGACTTTAACCAAGCTGCATGAGGCATGCAGGAGCCAGATGGATGTCTCCAGCTGCTTGTATTCAGGTAAGATCAAAGTTGATGTATTCCCTTGGTCATGGGTCTAAAACTGCCAGGTTTTGAAAAATACAAAGGACTATATTCTACAGAGTTTGAGGGAAGTGATGACTTTGGATATATGGTAAAGACAGTATTTTATACAATATAGGGTCTTGCTTTACTCCAAAAAAAGTGTAAGATGGAACATGTCAATAATCACTTGATTCAGTTTATTTCCACTTTTGTAAGAGCATGAAGCCRGTCCTCTGAAACACTAGCTCTTTAAAGAATGTTTTAAAAGGTAAAGAACACCCTTATAGTTCTGTTTTATACATTCACCTCATCTTATATATTATTAGTATATGCTCTTGGGGATKATGAAGTGTTAAAACAATCCAGTTGCTTATTTTCAGAGCTTGAGATGAGGCATTTGGGCTTTTTGCATGTTTAGATGAAGTAGGTGCTCTTGCAAGAGTTGGATTTCATGGCAGTGTCTCTGAAGGAAAAATAATTAGCAAATGCCACTTCTCATGCAAACTGCAGGTAGCTTTGCTTTGCCATGACAAGAAGCGGAARGTTTTGTGTGTGAGGACTCTCTGGAGTCACAGAATCACAGCTCTTCCTTGCCAGTCTTGAATGTCACTTAAATTTGGATGATTTAAAAATAAAATATTAATCATTTCCCATTGTGATAGAGCTTTGTATTTGATGAACAGATTACAGAAAGAGGCAGTAAATGGCAGCATTCACCTCATTGTAGATCTCCTGTGAATCTGAGTGAGCAATACTAGAGTCTTAACATTTCTCGGTGTAGTACATATGTCACCACTCCTGTATTCTCATGAATAAAATAAGGAATATTAATGTTAACTTGGATTTGACCTTGTATATTGTGGGAGTATCTGCAGAATTCACTAAAATGCCCTTAAGGCATTAAAGCAAGTGCTGTACAACCATTAATAACTCCAACTTTAGTTTCCTATTAGTAGGAAGAATATTGTAGCAAAATACTGGAGATACTGAACTTGGAAGAATATTTTGTCTGGTTTGGGTAGCAGTTAAATATTCTAAAAGCTGAATTTCTGCTTAACAGACCACTGCATATGTCAGAATCAGTGGGTCCTCCAGAATCAGGTTCCCCCTCCCCCCTCAAAAACATGTCTTAAAAGAATTGTGTGAGTATAGGTTATTCATTAGGTGATCTGATTAAGTGAATACAGTGATATCAAACTTAATGTGCTTCCAAAAATGTCACTATCTACCTTGCGTGCAATTGGAGTCATGTTTGTCTCCCTGTCTCTGCTAAGAATCACTTTCAGCAGTGAAACTTGCACTTCCAATCTTGGTTGTGACTAAACATCCCTGGAGAAGCTGCTGCTGATCCCATTCAGAATGCTTTGATTCAGGGCTGTTAGCTGTGCAGCTTCTATGTTAGAGCTATGTGTCAAAAATGACCAAGTTTTTGAATGAATTTAAATTTAAAATTTATAAGATGCATACCACTTCGAAAATCAGCCTCTGATAGATCTGAAAATGGATGCTTAAGTCATGCAAAAACCCTAACATGTGGATTTTTAGAGGGCATAGGTACATATGGCCTTCAAATCTCAAGTTATGTATGACTCTTGGTTTAGTCTGTATACTCCAGACCTGTGCTGGGCAACATTTGTTATGCAGCCTGTTTTCACTGAAATGTTGTACAGGATTGTCTTTTTATATGGAAGTGATGCAGATCTATGCTATGAGTATTTGTCCTGGAATTCCATATAAACTTGGTACTGATGAACTTGTATTAGTCTTCATTTCTAAGTGTGCAGATTGCTCTTCTGTGTTACTAACAAAAGATTGTTAATATTGTTTCCTAACTGATATGAGAGGTGAGGGTTTGCTTGGAAAGATTCCTTAATCTTTGCTTTAAAACAAACCTTTCTATTTAGCAAGGGAATTGTTTCCTTTTATGTTGATGGAAAAAGTATCTTGAAGCACATGCAGGTTGAGACTTTCAGAGTGGTAACTCAGGGCTGAGCAGTATGGCTTGGAAGGTTTAAGATGCAGCTGGGACTAGACTGTTGCCAAAATAGTGCAACTTTGACACCTTGAGGTTTGACACTTTTGTGTGTTTGGAAATGTTTCTGTGCTCTCCGCTTTGGTCCTGCTTGCTCAGAGTAATGTTTTGTGTCTGTGTTTGAGAAGGACTTTCAACATGAGCCTAAAGATCTTAGACTTTTAACATTAAGATTCAGTTAGTCATTTTGAATTGGTGTTCATTCAGAAGCCAAGTGATGTGATTTCTAGGTGGACCTGTGACCTTACACCCCTGGTCTTTCTCAAAGTGCTTTAGGCCACACATTTTCTTTTGTTTTTCACTGGAATGGCTGTGGAAATGCAGCATTACTGCTGTCCCCCTCCGAGCCTTTCCAGTGAGCCAGGACCTCATGGTGCAATTGGAGCTGTCAGGCAGATTGGGCTGTTAGGCAGGTTTCCTTGGCCAGTTTACTTGCTGATGTGATACCATGACCTCCCTTTCTTTTCCAGTAGGGTATTACATCAGGGATGTGCTTACTCCGTCCGGGATAGAGGACAGCAGTGCACACAGCAGATGTGCTCGCCAGTAGGTGTGTGGCCTTAGGTGGTGCAGTGTCTCATGGTAGCTCCCAGCAAGCAGCCTTTCCTAGATAAGCTGGCCTTAAGGCCAGGTGTGTGGAGGGAGAAGGGGGACCTTGTGACAACTAGAAGCCATCACCACACCTTACTTGGATGGTGCAAATGACAGTGGTGGATCCAGGATGAAGCTGGAGTCGTTCTTGTCTTGTGAGTTTTCTGCACCACTTTTCACTAATGAAAGTGCCGGGGATGTCACTGCTGCATACAGCTGGGTGCYCTGCCCTCCTCCTCCTCCTGTTCTTTTCCTCCTCTATTGCATTGTTTTCCTGATGCAAAATTAAGAGGGAGTGATATCAAATGGAACCCTGATCGGCATTTGTTTTGCTGTTCTATTTAATCAGCTACATCCTGCTCTGTCTTCTGAGTAAATGAGTTTTTCTCCAGTCTACAGATAAAGACTTTGTTTTGTTCTAACAGACAAAATCCAGCCCCCTTCTGAGAATTCCTTTAACAATCAAACAGGCAGGGGCTCCATTCTTATAGATGTTTGTGAGCAAGTTAGTGAAGGTGATAGCCAAGAACAACTTCTAGCCTGAGKCACAAATAACGACCAGCAGAATTAAAGTAGTCCCACACCCCCRTCCTTCCCTTTCACCCCTCTCTATATGGCAAGTTTGAGTAGATGAACAGGGACAATGTTATAAGGATCTTAAAGAAAGCTTTTTTATTTTCTTGTCTAATATAGACACAGTGTAAGTGATGATCAGTGGTGAAAGAGTGTAGTTACCTTCAGCTATTTTGTGTAGATTTGCGGTACAGCTTATCTGGGCTAAATATCAACATTGAATTCAGTTACGTGCATTAAAACATGTAGCTTTCACAGARTGTTTAGCCTCAGAGATAAATGCCTGTTTTTAGCATATGCAAAGTGAGTTTCAAACCAGGGAACAAAATTCCCAGCCCATGCTTGAGACATAGAGAAATGCCATTCAAGCCATTTTGGGTTTGAGTTGAATTTGACACTGTAATAAATGCTCCATGCTGTAGTTGTATGCATTTATATTGATCATCTTCAGTAATTCCTCCTGAGCAGCTATAAGAATGATCACCCCCCTTATTCTCCGCTGTGCTAAATAAAGATGCTCTCATCTAGGAAAGCCATTAGAGAAATAGCTGCAAGTCCCTTAGAGCCATAGATTCCCTAGATGTTTCCCAGTGCTGGCCTAGCAGTTAGCACCATCCTTCCCATTTCAATATTCCTCAAAAGATGCTTCAGAAGTTTCCTTTGAATCTCAAGCAGTGTTCTCACTCTGCAGAATATGATGTTCCTAACTGTTATTTATAAACCAACAGCAAGGAAGATGGCTGTGATTTTGACAGGAATATGTATGTATTTGACTTGACGTTGTGTGAATTCCTCAGCCTCGTGGATTGGAAAAATCAAGTCACTTTAAGCCCCGTGTTGCTGGAGGAATTGAGGCTATATTTATATTGCATTGCACTACTTCATCTCCAAATGCACCGCAAATAGCTAGCGGTGAATCAACAACAGGCTAGTAGCCTGTTAGCTTGCACAGAGGTCAAAATCCAAGGTCTCCTGGGCTGCAGTGACCACAGTGGGTGCTGCTTTGTTTCTGGTACTCAGCAAAGGCCTCCTGCACCTCAAACTTTGCTTTGGAGAGGTTGGTTCTGGTTAAAATATTGATTGCTCCTTCCCAAGCTCTGCTTAAAAAACAAGCAAACCAAAAACCCTGCACTGTTAGTAACTGAAATGTGCACAGCAGGAAAAATGAGTATACCCAGCTATGTACACTTGTGATTTCTCCCTCTCAACATTAGAAGCATCTCTTTATATATAAATTTATTAAGAGTTCTTATCTGAATTTTGGCATTACAGAAATTGTGCATACTGGATGAATGTAATCTATTTGAGCTAATTTTGTTTCCAGCTAGTGAATAGATCTGATTTGGTAACAAGATTACTGGATTGTGGAGGCTTGAGAAGAGGGGCTCGTTTGCCTGGAGATATTTTAGGTGCTCCAGCCAGCTAGGAGCCAGGTCTAGGCACCTTGGCAGAGTCTGGAGTTGTAATGGAAACAACTGGAAATGTTAAATGGCAGTCCAGACTTGGACCTGCTTTTATAAGTCATCTAAATGGAAATTTTGTTCTTTGGGTGTAAGCAGTATCTTTCTCTTCCATTTTCCAGCATCCTGCTTATTATCAATAACAAAGGCAAATGCAAGAGGACACTCTTGTTGCTGCGGGTTTCATGTTGCTCCAATGTACAACTTTGCTTTCTGATTCTTTTTCTTCCTTTCCCCAAGTCTTACTGCTCTAGATTTGCTTACCACCATGAAACAGAACAGTGCTGAAGTCCAGAGTGACACAAGAAATGCATGTGTTTTTTTTTCTGTGTGTGTTT